TTGATAAACCAGTACTGCCAGGCAAGACAAAGCAAGTTTATGATAACACTTTATATTAAGGTACACAAATTCACCATCAACTAGTTCTTAATTAACATGCACATTAACAGTATATTGGCTCTTTATTAGTCATTATAAAACACTTATTAATGTGTCTGAACCACTCTTTAGTGGTTTAATAAAACATATATTTCAACGTGTGCCTACTTTGAATGTACTGTTGAGGTTAATTGCAGTAGTTGTGTGTTATAATGTATATACAAAGTGTGAAGAGGAGGCAACTTCAGAATAGGGAACCTGTTCAGCTCAATTAGAGTCAAACTACTAGCGTATTGGTTATGAACAAGACTTCACTTTAAAATAGGGAACATGTTCTTAGATAGAAATACCTAATTTTAAGTTATTTAGACACCATTAACACTTATAGTTTCATGTATTGTTACATAAGAATAGATCATATTTGTTAAGTGTTATTATGGGAGAATTACTATTATTGTGGTACTACTGCCTTATTAGGCTGATATTGAGCAGAGCATATTAAGACCAAAACTCATGTACAACAACTTCCTTACTTGCAATAAATAAGCACTAATTGGAGGGTTATTGAGGACAAACTCTCAACTAATGGCTTATTACTTGTAAAATATGTTCATGTAGAATAAGGCATTAATACGTGTTTAATACTGTCTAATAAAGAGCCAATATACTGCTAATATGCATGTTAATGCACATTTAATTTAATTTCAAACCTTTATTTAACCAGATTGGTCCCATTGATATCATAGATCTCTTTTTCAAGGGAGACCAGCCGTACTGGGAGATGCTGTCTACACTTAAGCTCTGTAGTCAGCAACAGATTATGATCCATGGAGAGACAGAACTCTTCCAGGTGTGCCTCCTCAATGATCGTCCATTCTAGTCGGCACCGGCAGGAACAGATATGATGCGTGTCAACTGGACTGGACAAAGAGGCTAAGAGAAAAGAGAGCAGGAGGTGAAAAACACACTAACAGCCTGTCTGGCACCATCGCCTGGTGCATTGAGCACAGTGCATTTACATGTGTTTAAATGACAGTGATGATGATGATATCTAACATAAAAAGGACATTCTTATATCAAAATAGGTAAACTCAAACATCACTTAATGCAAATCCAGTCTACAACACACACTAAGATAAAGCGACTTGCAATTTGAGAAAAAACTAGCAGAATCTATCAAAGCATGTCCAGTGCAAACTGTTTAGTATTAATTTCAAAGATTGTAAAGACCAAACGTTTTGCAGTTTTTGATTAAATAGAAAATGTTAAGGATGTGTCCTTTTGCATGTTATTAAATTATGTTATATCATAAACATAGTTTGCATTCTTCATAATCAGTAAGCCTGCAGATTTTAACCTGATGTATCCCCTAACCCTAACACAAGTTTAGGAAAAACACAACTGTTACCATACGATTAAGATTGTGCATTCTTGTTGCTCGAACACAGAATAAAGTCAAGTAACGCCATTTTTGGAAACTGCATTTTTGGAAAATGTCACCTACTTAAAGCATTCTTTGTTTACAGCATTTTTCCACACCTGCCTAAAACCTTTGCACAGTACTGTATATGCATGCATTTAGATCTCCCTGTCTGTATCACACACACAGAGGAATTGACAATAAAGTTGACTTAGACTTTGATTTCCTTTTTCTGCAGCTCAACCGTGTTGGAGGAGTCCTGAAGACCAACCACGGCATCCTCCTGAAGTCTCTGAACCATGATTTAAGGCCATATGTATATGTGCCCAAGGTGTAGTTACATACAAAGAAAGTTCAATCTTTAAAATCTTTCTAAAATAGGTACCTTTTCTTTGTAATCCCAAAATTACTTGAATAACATTTTTTTGCCTTAAATTATTTAACACCAGATTGTGTCTTCACCTCTGTTCCTCCAGCATCAAATTTGCTGTTTTTCTTTATTTCGGACACGAATATGGGGGTTCCGTAAGTATCATACTCTCTTCAAAATCAAGACGGAATTGTTCTAAACAGCCCGCACACGGCCCGATTGTCTGTGCCTCGGGATGGTGACCTTTTACCACCGTTTCATCGCCCGGGCCACCCAAATTATGCGGCCACTGTACGAGGCATTGAAGGGTAAGACCCCCCTGCAGGAGATCAGCTGGACGGCGGAGGCTGAGGTTGCTTTCAAGGAGGTCAAGACCGCACTGTCTGTTGGCGCATCCGTCACCCACGGCCCCCATTTCCATTACCACCGACGCATTGGACTACGCCGTCAGTGCGGTGCATGAGCAGTGGGTGGAGGGCGCCTGGCAACCACTCGCCTTTTTCAGCCGCCAGCTGACGCCCAGGGAACGCAGGTGCAGCGCTTTTGACCGGGAGCTCCTTGGACTCTGGCTGGCCATGCGGCACTTCCGGTTTTTGCTGGAAGGCCGTGAATTTACAGCATTCGTGGAGCACAAGCTGCTCACGTTCACCATGTCCAAGGTGGCGGAGCCTTGGTCTGCTCGCCAGCAACGACAGCTTCTCTACATCTCGGAGTTCACCACGGACATCCAGCACGTGGCTGGCAAGTCAAAACCTGGTCGCAGATTGCCTCTACAGGGTCGTCATCGGGGCCATCCAGTTGGGCCTCGACTATACCCGCATGGCAGCGGACCAGGTCACGGATCCCAGCGTCCAGGCCCTGAAGGGGGCCGACGTGGAGCTGCGTCTAGAGGATGTGGATTTCGGCGACGCGGTCGTTACTCTCCTGTGTGACGTCTCCACGGGCCAGCCGCGTCCAGTTATTCCCACCAGCTGGAGGCACTCCGTGTTTGAGGCGGTGCACGACCTGTCGCACCCCGGTGGGAAGCCGTCGGTGCGGATGGTGGCCGTGAAGTTCGTCTGGCGGGCACTCAAAAAGAACTCAACGTGTGTGGCTTACCAGCGTGCCAAAGTGCACCGCCACACGATGGCCCCCCTGGAGCAATTCCTCGTGCCTGAGAGGAGCTGGTTGGCCCATTACCCTCCTGTCAAGGTTTCACCTACCTCCTGACTATGGTGGATAGGATGACCCGCTGGCCGGAGGAAATCCCACAGGCGTCGACAACTGCGGCTGAATTAGCATGGTGCCTTCATTGCAATATGGGTGTGTCATTTCGGCACCCCATCGGACATTTCCTCGGACCGTGGTTCGCAGTTCACGTCCGAGCTCTGGAACACCATGGCCGGGGATTTGGGGGTGAAGCTCCACCGGACAACTGCTTATCACCTACGGTTCCGGTCCCACCGCTCCCATCGACCACCCCTGCAGTCGTCGTCTCCCAGGCTCCTGTTCTCCGGAGTCGTGGTGGTCGGCTTGTCGTTCCTGCCCGCCGCACTTTGTGTATGCGTGAATTCTGGGGGGGCTTGTTTGGCGGAGCATCTACAGTGGCTCTACAGTGCTGATGAATTAGTTACAAGGCCTAATGAACAGTTTAAAATGTTTTTGTTTTGTTTTTACAATATAACAACTAATATATTTGAGGTAATCAGAGTGTATTTATTATCAGGTAAAGCATGTGACAGTGAACACACAACAATGGGAGGGAGGAATGCAATGGGTGATGTGCCAAACAAAAATTAACTAACTAACTCAAAACACTGGAAAAGCCCGTATTTAAAGGTCCCATGTCATGGCCATTTCTACTGATCATAATTCCATTGTTGAGGTCTACTAAAATAGATTTATATTGTGCAATTTTCCAAACTCACATTGGTTTCTCATACAGCATCTCTGTATAGTATGTGTATTCACTCTCTGTCCTAAATGGCTTGTTGGAGCTCCTGCCCCCCCCCCTCCCCTCCCTGTGAGCCCAGTGGCCGTCTGCGAGACAGCGAGACACCGCGGAACTCAGCCTGGGCACACACACACACCCGCAGCCTGGCTGGGAGTTTGTGTGTGTGCCCAGGCTGAGTTCCGCGGTGTCTCGCTGTTTCGCCGACCCCACACCAGTGAGCCAGCTCACAGTGTCCCGCTCCTTGCAGCAGCGAGCCTCGCAACTGCCCGCTAAGTGTGTGTGTGTGTGAGGAAGTCCGCGGATTGGTCCAAACGTAACGGCTCCGCGGACGTAACGTCATTATACCCAAGAAGTAAACGATGGAAAAAGATAAATCCCCAACGAGGCGTTCTGGGGCAGCATAGACAGGTATTTTTTGTGTTAGAGTTTTACTCGCTACAGGGTGTACTTTGAGGGTTTGTGACTCTGCAGACCGTTTACATGCAGAAAAACCTTCATAACACTCAAGGGGACGGATAATAACCGGAAAAGCATGACATGGGACCTTTAAATCATGTGTTGTAAAATGTGCTCAAAGCCAAATCCATAGGTATACAGCCTCCTCCATTTGACTGAACCCAGACCGACTGTGGCAGGGCTTAAGGGGGAACTCAATCACGCTTGCTATGGGCCCAAGAACCTGAATGATCCCTGTAACTTTTTGTAACTACACTCAGTCAATTGTTATGCTCCATCAGCCACTGAGCAACTTTCATACTAATGACCTAGGATTGCTGTTCTCTTAATACATCCATGGCTGCCAACTGCCCAATGCTGTTTGTGTTCTTCATGGAACACTCAAAATAAGATAAACATTTAATTATATATATTATATTGGCCCTTCAGCAGTGTTTGTATTTGTCAGACAGTTTATAGATGTTTCTTACTGTGTAATGCTGGTTTATTTCTATTTCGAGATATTTTTTTATTTTATAATTGTTTATTTCTGTTTTCATTTGCTATTATGTGCAATGCCTGTTTTTTTTTTATGCTGCTGCAACAAAAGGTTTTTTGCAAATTGGGATTAATAAAGTACATCTTATCTTACTATTGTCATACAGATATAAACAACTTGAAGCCGTCTCTAATATTGTTTGCACAGACAGATGGGCTAGCTGGGTGTGAGAAGAACCAGCCAGTCTAGTCGGCACACAGTTATCATCTGGACTGAACAAAAGAAAAAACCAGGACAAAAAACACTGACAACAAGCTTGCGTGACATTTATTTTAGGATATTATAAATCCAGTGGAGTACAAACATTTTAATACATCTCAATTATCTGTTGAGAAAATAAAAAGTTTAAAAATATAAAATTGATCACATTGCATTCTGACAAATAAATAAAAATCATTCAACATTATTAGCTTCATCACTATTTGAGATATCTTAATCTTCAATTCAGAAAATATAAAATATAAAAGATTATCATTAGAGAGAAATATAATTATCTTCTTGTTGTGAAATTGTGAGCACAGACATTTATTCAGTTACTTGATTAAAAGTGCGTGTATTTTTGGTGAAACACGGATGACTGGTGTAGGGTTAATTACAAAGACCAAATTCCTTTTCCTGTTTGATCCACCTGCTGGTAGGAAGAGTTTACTGGAATGCCCTGCATTTGGAGACAAAAACAAACAGAAACTGTTCAAATATGTCGAGTTAAAACAGTTACAATTATTAAAAAAATAATTTGCACCTCATTGTTGCTTGAACGGAATTAGGTGAAGTAACTTAGTTATTAGAAACTGCTCATGAACAAAAGTTATCCACCTACAAAATGTGTTTTCTGTAGTCCTTGAGATTTTATTCTATTCTTTACCTGGTTCTCGTTCACATGCTCCTGGCTGTTCCTCTTAAGAATTGATCAGTTGCGCCATGGCCTCGTCAAACAGCGCTCTGGCAGTCCCTTTATACTCATTCCATGGCTTATCTCAGGTTTTCTCCTTGACTTCTTCAGCCAACTTCTCTTTTACTGCTTTCATCAAAACCTCTTCCAGCACATTTTCTTCTTCTGTGAATATCAGTTCCTCAATCAGATGTTTACTGTCGAAACAACATGATACTTTTTCACAGCATTTGCATCTTTCACAGAATGGCAAGATGAAAGCGATAAAAAATGCCCAAAAGCCACCGTAATGCTGAAGAAAGATAAAAGAAAGAAAGATGGTTATATAACAGCAAAACTGCATTCCTGTTTTTTTAATATGGAAGTGAAGCTGATGAAGTAGATCAAGAGTGGAAGCACTCACCTGGGAAGAGTTTTTCAGTTCTTCAATGATGACTCTGGTTGTCCGTGATATTCGCCTCAGCTTTGCAGGCTAACTGTACCTGTTGTTTAGAGCCGTCATTCTTACAGCAAACATACCAGTCTCCATCGAGGAGCACAAAAGCAACCCACAGCAGACTAACTAAAAAAAGCCTTGAGAATGTGAAGGAAATAAAAACACCAAGGAACTTCGTGGTATTTAGTGCATGAGCACCAGTTTCTACAGGCACTTTGAAAATAACTGTTTGTCCACAGTGTGAAGAAAGTCACTATTAAGACTGGCAGAACTATGAACGAGTCGTAGCCTGAGTGTTGTGGTTCGCAATCGCACGCAAAGTCCTTTTCAAGCAGAATATTGTAGGTGAACTCTACCATGATGGCGGATATGGTACCCAGCTTCCCAGAAGCTATTCTCTTCAGGGCAACCCGGTATCACGGCAAGACGTGAACATGTGACGATCTACCATGCTGGGAGACGTGAATATGTCACGGTTTCGTCCCTTCAAACGTGACAGTTACACTGTATTGTTAACATGGCCCAACCAGTGGAGAAATACCCGGAAGTGCTTAGCAAATGGTCTAGCGCGCCTATTGGTCGGTTTTTATAGTCAAAATTAGATGTTTTTAATTTATTTTTTAATTGTCACACTCGATTTCGCCGATTTTCTTGTTGCCCTAGCTGGTCGACACCTCTTTTAGCAGAAACAAAGGCTACATTAATGTATTAAATCGATGTTAATCCATGTGTGTGGAGGTGAGGATGTGGAATTAACGGACGTGACGTTGTGCAATTGCGTTGCCAGGCAACGCAATTTACAAACTCTTCAACTACAACCCTAATTATATTTTAAAACATTTTAGAAGGCCTCACGAAATACTTTAATGTAAATTAAAATGTAAATGTGAAGGAATGTGTGTAATGTGGTGATTGACATTATTCAACCACGGATCTATGGGTTGGGGGTATTGTTCCGCACGGACATTTTAGTTAACCGGACTTCCTGTTGATGTGAAATCCGAAAACATTTAAAAAAAAAAATAATAATACTTTATTCCGAGTTTGCTTGCTTTTCTCTTTGGAGGTCATCACATAACAACCCTGTCTCCTAGAAATTACGTTCCCACAAAACTAAACTGCATTCTCAAATACGTTTCGCAAGATTCGCAAGATTCGCAAGTTGTTCTCCCTGTTGGGAGAACAACGTTTAATATAGCCGTTCAGAATAAATGTATATTGCAATACGAAACCCTTACCTTCAGGAATTCACATCTGTGATGGTAAATGGCCCAATGACTGCTTTTTGTACCATTCCATGTTTCTCTGCAAAAATATATATTTTAGTACAAGTCAACCAAACAAGTGTAATACAGCAGAAGTTGTGTACATACCCGACGCAACACTCCTCTGCCTCCTTGACTTGCATTTCGATTCACAGCAGTCACAAAGATTGCTCTGGGCCAAGTTGTCCAGCAACTCCCAACTGAGTTCATGAAGATTGGATGAAAAGATAATTAAAATGCATCTCAACTGTTCCAAATGAAGATTACACAAAGTTTGAATAGTTATGAATGGGATCCATCTGTATCTTCAGTAGACTGGGCTTAAGCTGAATAAGTCATCTCATGTAAAACAAATTAACCTACAATTCAAATTCTGATATATTAAAAGTAATATTTTTACCCATGCCCTTCGACAAAGTGGCAGGCTTTCTTAGTGCTGTCAAGACCATTGGGATCCCAAGCCAAAAGTTTGCAGTGGATAAAGACCTGTTGACTAGAGGGAAAATATAGGCGTCATGGCATAAATTAATCTCAGTTTCCACAATAAAACCTTGAATCTGAAAAAAATGTAAATGCCAATTTACCTCTTCTCCCATAGCAAACGTAAAGGTCTGAAGTGATAGGCGGATCTCCGATGACTTTTGCCTTGGTTCGAACTTTGATCGTGACGACACACTTTCCAAAAGACATCTGTTGGGTTACAGAAAATGTATTAGCATTACTACCAAGGTTGACCAAAATACGTTTTTTAAATCAATGCTCATTGCTATGAGAGTACCCTTTATTGGAGATTATAGGGTACATGGTGCTTTCAGGGTACAGCTCTGGTGTGGTAGCTGCTACACATTCCTCAAGAAGCAGCAGCAAGGGCTGATGGGTCTCCTGCACCACACTAGCCATGATGGGGATGATGGAGCCCAGAGGAAAGCGTGTAGATTCAGCAGGGCCTGAGAAGTCGTCTGGGGCAGTAAACAGGAGAAGAGTCATTAAGTTACAAAAGTCAGGGAGAGCTGCCGTTCGTAGAGAGTTTCTCATGTTGTTTACCCACCATTCATAAGGCCAATGTTAAACTGCAGATCTCCTAGACTGTAGGTTTTAAACACCGGGTCATAGATCGCAGCATACCAGTCTTTGGGCCTGCACAAAATAAAGCAGAAAGGTACAGAAAATGCTGCAAAGTGACACTATTGAACTTATTAGTGCAAGCTTGTTTACTCACATTTGCTTTAAGCTCATTTAGTGGGAATGCTGATACAGCATTCCAACTACTTGTTCTACGGACAAATTCTTTATTATTATTCCGCCGGGTTATTTTGCTTCTCTTCTGCTCCCACATCGCAGAAACTCCGTTCAAACATCAAAACGTTCAGCTCGGTCGGGAATCGATTGCATCCCATAATTCATCACATTTTTAACATGGAGGTCAATGGAGAAACTCTTCAGACTTGAAAAATCTTCATGACACTTCAACTGCTAATTCATACTTTCACTCAGAAACCTCATTCCAACTTTAAAATGTTACACATCATTCTGACATTATTCGTGTAACAACTTTTAATTCTGATTCATACTTTTAGAGATATTAAACATTGTTCAGACCTTGTTAAAGAGTCCTTCAGATTTTAGAGTGTGTGAAGTCACAGCTAGAGTGGACAGATTTAATTTTGCCTTCATATTTTCTTTTAAACCTGCCATAATTCCCAAACTCTACATTCCTGAGACATAATTTTTCATGAGAAACGTAGGAAAACATCTCGTATCTTGAAAAATGAAAAAAGAATTCAGCAAAAAAAATTAAACAAAATGCCTCTCGAGGGCATGAAGTGACAAACTTTCAACATGTCTCCATTAAAGCCCATTGTAAATTCAGGCTCATCTTTCCGCACACCTTTAGTTAATCTGCCAAAAATGCCACATTATTGACCCGAAAGTACACAAAAAGCACACTTCAGATGCTAAGGGTTCTTGAGATGCTTCACGTGTTGAAATTTCACCGATATCTGTTACGGTTCTTCAACAAAACGTTCACATGTAAGAGGTTTATCCCTCATTCAGAACAATGGAAATGCTCTCCTCTCACTGATTACTGCACATCACCATGGAAACCTTTGATCTCTGGGCTCAAGGACAGGTGTTTCATAACGTTGTTAGCTCAAACATAAACACCTGTGTGACGGAACATGATGATGTCATAAGTCCAATTGACATGCTCAGAACGCCACCAAACATCACATGATGGTTAACACTGTGGCCCTGAACAGCTCTACATCAAATCTGATGTTGGGTAATGTGGTGTTACTATGGCAACGCATCCCTCACCATAAAACACGATGTCGCTGTAACTCCAATAGACACGGTCCAATCGTCCCCCAATCTTCAGTTGTATATCACCGGTCGATGGCTCAACAGCTCTATGTCAAATCTGAGATCTCACCATATGCCGTTTCCATGGAAACGCATCCCTCGCCATAAAACACGATGTTGTCGTAACTGATATGAAAATGGTCAAAACACCACCAGACTTCAGATGACAGTTAATGGTCCAGCCCTCAACATGTCTGTGCCATTAGTGAATTTTCCTCAAAAGCTGTTGCCATGGCAACGCATCCCTTTCAATAAAACACAATATTGCTATAACAATTGTCAAAAAGTGCTAAAACTTCACATGTGTGCTAACTGTCCAGCCGTGAAGACATCTACGGGACAGTTTTGAGATTTCTTCAAATGCCGTTGCCATGGCAACACAATGCTCGCCATGAAACATGGTTCTCATAACTTCAGTGAAAATGGCCCAAAACTACACAGGTTTGGTAACGATGAAGTCATCCACATATCTAAGCGTATCATCAAATACCGTTGCCATGGCAACAGATCATTCACCATCAAGTTAGTTCAATGGTTTGCAGTTCAAATATTCTGCTGCTTTTCCAAGCTTTTTTACTTTCTTTTCTTCTCTTATCACACATTCAAGCCCCCAGTGTTCATGTATCATTTCAATCAAAATCCTTCACTTTCTTCTTACACATTACATTTCAGCATAGCAATTCAGCATCAGCATAAAGTATTCCCATTAGCAATTTCTTCAGGAATTGCATTCTCTAGTTATGAACTGTTACTCCTATGCTAAAAGACAGTCCAAAATAAGTAGACAACTACTTCCTCCAAAATGCAAAAAACTAGTGTATGATGTTCAATTAAAACTATGGAAAAAACTCAATTGACAATGATATGGGAAAAACACAGTGTACCTTAGGGATTGTTCTCAGTAAATGGGTACATTTTTTGTTGAGAATACTTCAAGAGATAAAGCTAATTTGGGAATAGAACAGAAACAGGCTGTAGATTCCCTAAATCAGTCTCCCATTCATTGTCTATATAGCAGCATCAGACTTTATACCTGATGACATCACAAGTTTGAGACGGACTTCCATGGTTGGTGGCTTAGAGAGGGAAGAAGCTTATTATCAAATTGAACTTTCCCAGGCCATGGAAATGCCACATTTGAAATGTTAGTTAAGGGTGGGGTCACCCTTTAGCACCTTATGTTGTAGTTGGTATGAACACTAACCTCTCATATGCACAGACAACTGGGTGGGTGAAGGCCAAATTGTAAGAATCTGCAGAAGCAATGTAGGTCAGATCATTGCTGTACACCAGTGCATCCCCGGTGACCTGTTAGAGAGACAAAGATCCCCCTGAGAGAGCTGTAGGAAATATAGCAGACTCACAGCTTGCAAGTTTAAATATATATACACACAGTGGCGACTGGTCATTAGGGGCAGGTGGGGCACAGCCCCACCTAGTGTCAGCAGAAAGTATTACAAATATGATTACAAAAATGCAAAAAAATAATAAAAAAATATAAAATATATTTTAAGATCATGTTTAATCATCTGATTCGTCTGTACATTGCTGTTTTAGTCTGTGTTCTTCTAATTAGTGTGTCTACAGTCACAGTGTGTGCCTATTGAGCTGTTTAGAGCCATGTGGGACAAAACCTGATTATGCCCCTTCCTCTCGCTGTGAAGTCAACGGTGACTGTAAAAACTTCACTGCGCATGCTCAGAGTATTTTGTAATGTAATGTGTGTGGCAAAAAATAATGACCATAGGGGCACTGAGCTGCCATCCCCACCATACGTCTTCTCAAATCATTCAGAGCTGATTGGCTGTAAGTACGTGTGCCGCGAAAAGTGTGGCGTGTGAAGAGGAGACGAGAGCTGCAGTGACGCGTCCTAAAACAGGAAGTAAGCTGCAAAAAAGCAATGAGGTTTCTCCATAGGATTTTAGAAAATAGCTCGAAATAAGATCTGTGGGAAACGTACCGGTTAGATAAATGCACGTCTTGATTAGCCGGATAACATCCACATGTCTACCCTACTTATATAATTTTTTTATCATAAATCTATGGATTAGATTTATGATAGACTTTTGAAACTACAAGAACATAAGGAGGACTTTACAAAAAAGTAATAGAAATGTTTGTCCAGAAGGATAGGCAAATGGACTTCATCTTCAAGTCAAGGTAAGACCCCATTTTATTGAAAATGGGATCTTACTAAGAGAGACAATTCAATATTTAAATGATAAAATGACATTTGTTGGGTATCCTTTTGTAGAACTGTCTGTTTAAAATTAATCGAAGCATCAGACAAAAAAAGCTTTTGAAAATATATTATATTTTGGTTTAGGTCAAAATATAATATTCGTAAACCTGAAGAGTCAGTGCCAGTGTCTCAGCAGCCATGAACCTCACTGCACGTCACTGCATAAGCTTATATATATATATATAGACATCTAAGTTTTTTGTGCCCCACCACTTTTGTACATATAAAAACGCCACTGTACACATACCAGTCTCCTAAAGTTACAGTCAGTGAGATCCACATAGAAGTAGGCCTCTCCTGCTGAGAAGCTGGTTGGGAAACAGCTACCCAGACGGAGAAGCGACGTGTCGGCCTGGGGTCGGCTTTCTGTCCACATCAGCGTCACAAAATCTGGCCCACAGTCCACTTTCATGTCTGCAACACAAATAAATTAAGTTTAGACTCAACTATTTGAGTCAAGGATAATAACATGACTTTAATTATGTCCAGTCTTACCTGCATATACCGCCATGGCAGCTGCCAGGCTCAGAAGCAGTGCACCTTGACAAATGAAACCATCATGACTGAATGCTTGCTACTGACACAGTGCATGTTCTTATACCTTGTTCCTGAGAGGCATTAATCAAGATAACGTCTTTCACCTGGTGCCTGTCAACAGTCCCAGCTGCAGCAGCTAGCACACTGATTACAGCATGGGGAGCATCCAATCACATTAGTCCTTACACCCAATTCATTTGTATTCAGCTTCATCAGCAGCACAAAATCACCATTTGTTAATCAATTTATTATCCTGTATGACTACCTGAACTTCTTTTTAAAACACTTTAAGGATGATAGTGCATGGGTTGTCTTACTGATGTTTTGATTTAGTTTTGCTGTTATATATATCAACATTAATATATGTATACGTTGGGATTCTTGTTCAACTTCAAGTCATGCAAGAAAAAGTTTTGTTTGAGAATTAAAAGGTGAGTCATTTCTAAAACAAATGATCATTTGTGGGAAGGTAGTATTCCTTTATCAGATGTCCTGTTCTATTCAAATGTGTTATTTGTATATCTTTGACCTAATGGAAACTCAAGGTAAGGGAAAAGGTACATTTCATTCAAGTTGTATTCAGTTTGAAAAATATCCACGCTCACACACCTGAATATGAGTTGTGTTGCAATGATGTCCTCTTTTAACTGCATAAACACGTGCCATGCAGGCCATCCCTATTGATTTTATATCATGGCCAGAAAGTAAACTATGCTACATTCAACTGCAGGCATTATGCCCAGAAAATGAATTCAGATCAGAATTGTCTTTTCAAATGAGGCTCAACATAAATAGTTGCCATAGATGTAATACCAGACAGATCACCAATAACTTTTTAATCTGGTGGTGTATGTAATGTCAGAATTTATATCATGCGCAGAGCTCAATGTAAAATGGAAAGTGAAAGAAAATTCAGGGGCTATACTCCAACTCACATGGCCATTAAAGGTTACATTATAATTGACAGTACTTGACAATATCTTTCAATGACAAAAGTCACACATGATTAGTACAATTCTACTGATAGGACAGATGGACACAGTTGAGGACAGTAGGACCTTCATATGAAGTAAAGATACTCGTTTATAATCAACAGGAGTTAACAACAGTTTTATTTATACAGAGATTATAGACAACTTTAATCTGCATATGGATGTCGTCCACCTGGGCCCTCTGTTCAGTCTCCCCAATCTTAGACTGGACTTCCTGTTGAGAAAATGTTTAGCAACGTTAGTCTTATGGCAAGTTTTGAACAAAACTTCAAGACAAATACCATAAATAAATAAATACTCATTAACCTTGGTCAGCAATGGAAACATCTGATGCATTGTGGGCATTTTGTTGCGATGGATCCATTATGATCAGGGGTCCCAACACAGAATGTGCATGAAGCCGTTGGATTCTGAGGTGGAAAAAACCAACAATAATTTCATAATGAAAAAGACTATACTATATAAAAAAAGCATACAAGTTAGCATAATAGCGATACCCCATTCGTCTCCTCTCTTGGAGCGAGTGTTGCAGGTCCTAGAACAGCAGTCCACATGGAGCTCTGCATGGGGTCATCCAGGAGTTCCCATCTGAGGAAGCAGCAATCGTTAAGGCTCAAATACATCAGCATGGCTTTAAAACATTTTGTATACACAGAAGAAAAAAGCCGTTATAAAAATGGTATGATGTTTCTATAAAAAATAAAAAAACTGGTCAAATTATAAATATGAAGTTAATGACCAAAATATATATCAAATCAAATCAAGTTTTATTTATATAGCACATTTTTAAACGATTTTTGGTCGAGCCAAAGTGCTGTACATATAATAAAAATACCCTACAGTAAAGACACTTCACAGCAAATACAACACCACAGTTTGTGCAGAATATCAGTATGAGAAAACGACAACCTCTGTCCTTAGACCCTCACATCGTACAAGGAAAAACTTCCGGAGAAAAACCCACAGTTTAAAGGGAAAAATGGGAGAAACCTCAGGGAGAGCAACAGAGGAGGGATCCCTCTCCCAGGACGGACAGACGTGCAATAGATGCCGTGTGTAAGAGATAATACATTTTACAGTGTAGGTAGACCGAATGTTTGGAAATGCATGTGTCTATAATAAGAAGATGAATCCACGAGGATGTCAAAAGCGATCTTGTGGGAGCCATCAGGGAAGTAGCATGAAGAGACCCAGGCAGGACCGCAGAGACAGGCCCAGCCACGACCCGAAGTCCACAACTAATCCAGAACTCAGGATAGAGGATCCAGGACACAGGACCACAGCAAGAGGATCAGCCTCGACTCCGGATCCCAGCGTAGATATAGACACAAAACAAGAACATTTGGGGGAGGCTGGGTTAATCGGAACATGAGAATACACAGACACAGACAGACAGAAGGAAGAACAAGCACTCCCTTAGGATAGGTTTGAGGGAAAAGGGTAGCAAGTAAGAGAGTAATATTATATTATATCTATATATATATAGATATATTATATATATACAATATATTTCCATCTACAGTGCAGAAAAAGGTTAACATTTTACAAAAGGCTCAGGGCTTTTTTATTTATAAATTCCTCATTAGGTGGCTAATCATTTGAGTGCCCCTCCTTTTAAAACAAATATATTGTTATTCTCAAATATTTTACAATTATCATTCGTCACAAGTGTTGTCTATACTTTTAGTTAGCAGGAGATCATTTTTTATAAGATATATAAAAGCACAATACTGATCAAAGTACATGCATTGATGTACTTCAAGTTGGATATGTTATGCTAAAATCAGCTAGCATCCTTGGCTAATGGTGCATACTTGTTGCACATGGCATCAGTTGCATTCATCATATTAAACTGCTGGCAAGAACATTTTCACATACTTCCAACATGTCAAACTCTTCCCTTACCGCTCATTTCCCTTTACATAGTGGCAAGCTTTCTTGCTCTCACTTAGAACTTCAGGATCCCATGCGAGCAGTTTGCAGTGAATGTACACCTGAGGAGCACATGAAACATACATGTTTGCTAGGAACCAATATTCTTTAGAGCACTTTACATTTACACCCCCCTCACCCTCGTCGCCGAGACCAAACTTGAAGGACTGCAGGTAGAGGATGATTGCAGACGAGTGGTACCGAGGGAGAAACTGGGAGTTTCCCTTCACAACTGTCCAGGAGACACCTGAAGAAATTCAGATAAGCGATAAGGACTAAACTCAGAAAACAATGAAAGAAAATCATAGACTGGATCTCACCCCTTAGTTGTAATGATGGGGTACACATTGCTGTTAGCCTGTTCTAGGACCTGCAACACTCGCTCCAAGAGAGAGACGAATGGGGTATCGCTTTTATGCTAACTTGTATGCTTTTTTTTATATAGTGTAGTCTTTTTCATTATGAAGTTATTGTTGTTTTTTTCCACCTCAGAATCCAACGGCTTCAGGCACATTTCTGTGTTGGGACCCCTGATCATAATGGATCCATCGCAACAAAATGCCCACAATGCATCAGATGTTTCCATTGCTGACCAAGGTTAATGAGTATTTATTTATTTATTTATGGTATTTGTCTTGAAGTTTTTCAAAACTTGCCATAAGACTAACGTTGCTAAACATTTTCTCAACAGAAAGTCCAGTCTAAGATTGGGGAGACTGAACAGAGGGCCCAGGTGGACGACATCCATATGCAGATTAAAGTTGTCTATAATCTCTGAATAAATAAAACTGTTAACTCCTGTGGAGTATAAACAAGTATCTTTACTTCATATGAAGGTCCTACTGTCCCTCAACTGTGTCCATTTGTCCTAGCAGTAGAATTTGACTAATCATGTGTGACTTTTGTCATTGAAAGATACTGTCAAGTACTGTCAATTATAATGTAACCTTTAATGGCCATGTGAGTTGGAGTATAGCCCCTGAATTTTTCTTTCACTTTCCATTTTACATTGAGCTCTGCACATGATATAAATTCTGACATTACATACACCACCAGATTTAAAAGTTATTGGTGATCTGTCTGGTATTACAACTATGGCAACTATTTATGTTGAGCCTCATTTGAAAAGACAATTCTGATCTGAATTTATTTTCTGGGCACTAATGCCTGCAGTTGAATGTAGCATAGTTTACTTTCTGGCCATGAATATAAAATCAATAGGGATGGCCTGCATGGCACGTGTTTATGCAGTTAAAAGAGGACATCATAGCAACACTAATATTCAGGTGTGTGTGGATATTTTCTCACACTGTATACAACTTGAATGAACTGAAAAATGTACCTTTTCCCTTACCTTAAGTTTCCATTAGGTCAAAGATATACAAATAACACATTTGAATAAGACAGGACATCTGATAAAGGAATACTACCTTCCCCCAAATGATCATTTGTTTAGAAATGACTCCTTTCAATTCTCAATGAAAACTATTTCTTTCATGACTTGAAGTTGAACAAAGAATCCCATATATTAATGTTGATATATAACAGCAAAACTAAATCAAAACACCAGTAAGACAACCCATGCACTATCATCCTTAAGTGTTTTAAATAAGAATTTCAGGTAGTCATACAGGATAATAAATTGATTAACAAATGGTGATTTTGTGCTGCTGATGAAGCTGAATACAAATGAATTGGGTGTAAGGACTAATGTGATTGGATGCTCCCCATGCTGTAATCAGTGTGCTAGCTGCTGCAGCTGGGACTGTTGACAGGCACCAGGTGAAAGACGTTATCTTGATTAATGCCTCTCAGGAACAAGGTATAAGAACATGCACTGTGTCAGTAGCAAGCATTCAGTCATGATGGTTTCATTTTGTCAAGGTGCACTGCTTCTGAGCCTGGCAGCTGCCATGGCGGTATATGCAGGTAAGACTGGACATAATAAAGTCATGTTATTATCCTTGACTCAACTATTTGAGTCAAAACTTAATTTATTTGTGTTGCAGACATGAAAGTGGACTGTGGGCCAGATTTTGTGACGCTGATGTGGACAGAAAGCCGACCCCAGGCCGACACGTCGCTTCTCCGTCTGGGTAACTGTTTCCCAACCAGCTTCTCAGCAGGAGAGGCCTACTTCTATGTGGATCTCACTGACTGTAACTTTAGGAGACTGGTATGTGTATATATATTGTAAACCTGAAAGCTGTGAGTCTGCTATATTTCCTACAGCTCTCTCGGGGGGATCTTTGTCTCTCTAACAGGTCACCGGGGATGCACTGGTGTACAGCAATGATCTGACCTACGTTGCTTCTGCAGATTCTTACAATTTGGCCTTCACCCACCCAGTTGTCTGTGCATATGAGAGGTTAGTGTTCATACCAACTACAACATAAGGTGCTAAAGGGTGACACCACCCTTAACTAACATTTCAAATGTGGCATTTCCATGGCCTGGGAAAGTTCAATTTGATAATAAGCTTCTCCCTCTCAAAGCCACCAACCATGGAAGTCTGTCTCAAACTTGTGATGTCATCAGGTATAAAGTCTGAAGCTGCTATATAGACAATGAATGGGAGACTGATTTAGGGAATCTACAGCCTGTTTCTGTTCTATTCCCAAATTAGCTTTATCTATTGAAGTATTCTCAACAAAAAATGTACCCATTTACTGAGAACAATCCCCAAGGTACACTGTGTTTTTCCCAATTCATTGTCAATTGAGTTTTTCCCATAGTTTTAATTGAACATCATACACTCTAGTTTTTTTGCATTTTGGAGGAAGTAGTTAATGTCTACTTATTTTGGACTGTCTTTTAGCATAGGAGTAACAGTTCATAACTAGAGAATGCAATTCCTGAAGAAATTGCTAGTGGGAATACTTTATGCTGATGCTGAAATGTAATGTGTAAGAAGAAAGTGAAGAATTTAGATTGAAATGATACATGAACACTGGGGGCTTGAATGTGTGAAAAGAAAGTAAAAAAAGCTTGGAAAAGCAGCAGAATATTTGAACTGCAAACTATTGAACTAACTTGATGGCGAATGATCTGTCGCCATTGCAACGGTATTTGATGACACCCCATAATATGCTTAGATATGTGGATGGCTTCATTGTTGCCAAACCTGTGAAGTTTTGGGCCGTTTGGAGCATTTTCACTGAAGTTATGAGAACCATGTTTCATGGCGAGCATTGTGTTGCCATGGCAACGGCATTTGAAGAAATCTCAAAACTGTCCTGTAGATGTCTTCACGGCTGGACAGTTAGCACACATGTGTAGTTTTAGCACTGTTTGACAATTTTCATAGTTATAGCAATATCGTGTTTTATTGAAAGGGATGCGTTGCCATGGCAACAGCTTTTGAGAAAAATTCACTAATGGCACAAAGACATGTTGAAGGCTGGACCATTAACTGTCATCTGAAGTCTGGTGGTGTTTTGACCATTTTCATATCAGTTACGACATCGTGTTTTATGGTGAGGGATGCGTTGCCATAGTAACACCACATTACCCAACATCAGATTTGATGTAGAGCTGTTCAGGGCCACAGTGTTAACCGTCATGTTTGGTGGCGTTCTGAGCATGTCAATTGGAGTTATGACATCATCATGTTCCGTCACACAGGTGTTTATGTTTGAGCTAACAACGTTATGAAACACCTGTCCTTGAGCCCAGAGATCAAAGGTTTCCATGGTGATGTGCAGTAATCAGTGAGAGGAGAGCCTTTCCATTGTTCTGAATGAGGGATAAACCTCTTACATGTGAACGTTTTGTTGAAGAACCGTAACAGATATCGGTGAAATTTCAACACGTGAAGCATCTCAAGAACCCTTAGCATCTGAAGTGTGCTTTTTGTGTACTTTCGGGTCAATAATGTGGCATTTTTGGCAGATTAACTAAAGGTGTGCGGCTGCTGCTGTGAGGAAAGATGAGCCTGAATTTACAATGGGCTTTAATGGAGACATGTTGAAAGTTTGTCACTTCATGCCCTCGAGAGGCATTTTGTTTAATTTTTTTTGCTGAATTATTTTTTCATTTTTCAAGATACGAGATGTTTTCCTACGTTTCTCATGACAAATTATGTCTCAGGAATGTAGGGTTTGGGAATTATGGCAGGTTTAAAAGAAAATATGAAGGCAAAATTAAATCTGTCCACTCTAGCTGTGACATCACACACTCTAAAATCTGAAGAAGGACTCTTTAACAAGGTCTGAACAATGTTTAATATCTCTAAAAGTACGAATCAGAATTAAAGTTGTTACACGAATAATGTCAGAATGATGTGTAACATTTTAAAGTTGGAATGAGGTTTCTGAGTGAAAGTATGAATTAGCAGTTGAAGTGGCATGAAGATTTTTCAAGTCTGAAGAGTTTCTCCATTGACTTCCATGTTAAAAATGTGATGAATTATGGGATGCAATCGATTCACGACCGAGCTGAACGTTTTGATGTTTGAACGGAGTTTCTGCGATGTGGGAGCAGAAGAGAAGCAAAATAACCCGGCGGAATAATAATAAAGAATTCGTCCGTAGAACAAGTAGTTGGAATGCTGTATCAGCATTCCAACTAAATGAGCTTGCACTAATAAGTTCAATAGTGTCACTTTGCAGCATTTTCTGTACCATTCTGCTTTATTTTGTGCAGGCCCAAAGACTGGTATGCTGCGATCTATGACCCGGTGTTTAAAACCTACAGTCTAGGAGATCTGCAGTTTAACATTGGCCTTATGAATGGTGGGTAAACAACATGAGAAACTCTCTACGAACGGCAGCTCTCCCTGACTTTTGTAACTTAATGACTCTTCTCCTGTTTACTGCCCCAGACGACTTCTCAGGCCCTGCTGAATCTACACGCTTTCCTCTGGGCTCCATCATCCCCATCATGGCTAGTGTGGTGCAGGAGACCCATCAGCCCTTGCTGCTGCTTCTTGAGGAATGTGTAGCAGCTACCACACCAGAGCTGTACCCTGAAAGCACCATGTACCCTATAATCTCCAATAAAGGGTACTCATGGCAATGAGCATTGATTTAAAAAAACGTATTTTGGTCGAAACCTTGGTAGTAATGCTAATACATTTTCTGTAACCCAACAGATGTCTTTTGGAAAGTGTGTTGTCACGATCAAAGTTCGAACCAAGGCAAAAGTCATCGGAGATCCGCCTATCACTTCAGACCTTTACGTTTGCTATGGGAGAAGAGGTAAATTGGGATTTACATTTTTTTTCAGATTCAAGGTTTTATTGTGGAAACTGAGATTAATTTATGCCATGACGCCTATATTTTCCCTCTACTCAACAGGTCTTTATCCACTGCAAACTTTTGGCTTGGGATCCCAATGGTCTTGACAGCACTAAGAAAGCCTGCCACTTTGTCGAAGGGCATGGGTAAAAATATTACTTTTAATATATCAGAATTTGAATTGTAGGTTAATTTGTTTTACATGAGATGACTTATTCAGCTTAAGCCCAGTCTACTGAAGATACAGATGGATCCCATTCATAACTATTCAAACTTTGTGGAATCTTCATTTAGAAGAGTTGAGATGCAATTTAATTATCTTTTCATCCAATCATGAACTCAGTTGGGAGTTGCTGGACAATTTGGCCCAGAGCAATCTTTGTGACTGCTGTGAATCGAAATGCAAGTCAAGGAGGCAGAGGAGTGTTGCGTCAGGTATGTACACAACTTCTGCTGTATTACACTTGTTTGGTTGACTTGTACTAAAATATATATTTTTGCAGAGAAACATGGAATGGTACAAAAAGCAGTCATTGGGCCATTTACCATCACAGATGTGAATTCCTGAAGGTAAG